CACGGCACAGGCCACAACTACACACGTTAAGACCTGATAGGGGACTTTGGTTCTCGCGGGTCGGGCCCACGCACGGCTTCTGCGGACTGCCCTGGCTCCGCTCGCGAAAGTAACCGAAAGCTGGGGAGCGGCCGCACACTGCTCGGTACCCCCCCTGCACATCTAAAGCCATGGCCGACCCCCCCCCCCCCCAGCAGCAGCGCTCTGCCTGTGGGGGGTGCTGGCATCTCTGTACAGACAGCAGTTGTAAGTAGCATGTGTTCCAGTGGCGAGAATTTATGGTCGACACCAAAATCAGTGGTCTCACCGGCGCGGGCCCTCCTACTGCCAACCGGGCTCGAAGGCGCGGTGAACACAACCGCCTCGAGCGTACGCTCAAACACGAGCCGAGGGTGGAGGGGGGGCGGCGGCGAAGAGGCGGGAGAACTGGGTCCGTGCGCTCTGCTGCTGGGGGGGTCGGGACCCCCCCCCCCCCAGCAGCAGCGCTCTGCTGCCTCTCTTTTGCGCCGTCGGCCTGGGTCGGCGCGGATCCACAGACTGGACACTGGACTGTATTGGAGTCTCATTACTTATGGCTCACCGCATGCTCATGCAATACGCGAAGCACACACCCGTCGGCTGCCGTTCCCGTTGCGGTAGATGGCGACTGAGAACACGCGCACCTCGCCGTTGGCGCACTCGGAGGCATCGGGCCTGCCCAACGGCCCACGCTCGAGCTCGGCCAGGAATGCCTTGTGTGACACCAGCGCAACCGCGTGGTGGTTCAGGCCGTGCTCCTCAAGCAGGTCCAGCACCTGTGCAGCCCGCCCCCTGAGCATGACGCGGTTCTCGAGCGCTCGGCTTGGTGGGGCGGAGCTGCTGTTGCCCTGGCTCTCTTCGTCACAGACCCCGAAGCTGTCTACGCCATGTAGGGCCATTAGCCCCAGAGTGGAAGCTGCCTGGGGCAGCGGGCGGCGCCCGCCACCCTGCTTTCTGCCTATGCGAGTGTCGAGTTCGCTCGCTGCTGCCTCCGCATCGCTAGCCATCCCAATGAGCCGTGGCCAGGTCGAGTTGCGCCTCATCGGCCCGACACTCTTGCTCGTCGCCGCGCTGCCGTCATGCTCCACAATCTCAGACATATCGAACATGGAGAAGGTGTCTCGAATCACGAGGGTCGAGGCGCGCGAGCGACTGTCGCAGGCCAGCCCCGTTCGGCGTTCGGCCAGCACCTCGCGCACGGTGACATTCTCGTGCGCAGGGAACACGAGCGCGGCAGTCTGCATCGCGCGCTGGAGTGGCGAGACCAGGACGCAGCTCGGTGGGAGGAAACCGGCGTGAACCAGGTCCGCAATCCGCTCCCTGGACACAGCCAAACTCTCCCTCCCGGCTACGGAGAGCGGCGGGTCCGCCTCCTGCGCATACAGAACAGCCTCTCGAGCCGCCTTTTGCGCCAATACCACCTCGTGGCTGTTGGGGTGGTGCCCAGCTTCGAGAAGCGTCTTTCGGGCAGTCTCTTTGGCCTGCTTCTCCTTGACATTGTGCTCTGCTTCGCCGTGCCTGATGATGAAAACCGTCAGCTGCGCCTTCAAGCTCCACTGCGCCCGCCCGCCTGCGCTGAGGCGGCTGCTGCCCGCATCGCTCGGTCGGAGAGAGCCGTCGCTGGAGCGCCTCACATCACTGGTGCCTGGCAGGAGGACGCGTCGCAGAGATCCATTGGCTGCCATTGGTCCGGGGGACGGCCGTCATCGGCTATGTTTCACAAGAAGACTCTGTCAAAACGCGGGACTGTCAGCAAGAAAGTCAAGGCATTTCTTCTGTGTTTGACTTCTTACTAGTTAACAAGGTTAAGGATCATGAACGATGAAGGTCTCTGGCGAGGCGTGAATGTAGGTAGGTAGGTAGGTAGGTGGGTGTTACCTCACACACACGGACGGTCTATTGCAGAGACAAGGAGGGCCCACAGCACACACACCAAGAGTACATGCGCTGCACTGGACATCAGAGGGCCAAGGATTGGATCAAGCAGTGGGAAGGGACTCGAGGTGACGCGCGAGCAGAGACCTACACCTCCACGCGCTCCGCACCGCCGCGCCGATCTTCGCGCGGGCGGCGCGCATGCGCACCCAGGCCGCTCGCGCGCCGTCGCGCAGAGTCGCGCGTTGCTGACGCAAGAGGCCGTGGGCGAGCTGCTCCCACTTGATCGCAGGAGCAGCCGCAGGTGCCGCAGCCTTTCTCGAGCCGGCGCGCGCGGCTGCCGGCCTTGCCGCCGCGCGCACGCCGCTTTGGCGCCGCGGGAGCGATCTTGTTGCTCACCGTCAGCACGCCGCACGCCTCCTCAGAGGCCTTGCCCACCTCTCCGGATGTTGCGAGGACGCCACCCGGCATGGCCGGTCCTGTCGTGGCGTGGAGCCTTGATGACGCTGCGACCGCGTGCAAGCACACGAGCCCCCAGGGATCGTGCGGGTGAGCACGCTCGCAAAGGCGGACGGTATGGCAAGGCCAGCTCCGTGGCCGTGGGCTCAGCGAAGAGTACAGCCACCCATTCAAGCGAGGCGTGAATGTGATGAGCGAGGCCTTTGCTCAAATCCACGCGGACGGCATCACGCCGGAAGGAATGCGCACCACCGTCATATCCTTACTCTATACAAAGAAAAGGGAAGCCGTTTGAGCCTCAAAAACTACCGTGTACCGACCGAACAGATCTCTCTCTCCCCCGACCGATCGCCGTCTCAACGCAATCCTGAGAATTAAAAACAATCTGCACGGCGAACAACATCTGCCGCGGTGTATACACAAAACTCACGACTGGCTGTTTTTGGGTTTGCCTCGGCATGGAACCGCGTGACTAGCGGGCAAGTGCATACCGCCCCCCCGTCTCCCCGCCCCGGCCTCTTATGGCCTTGCATACAGTCTCTGTGCGCCTCCTCCCCTCCCCTTCCCCTTCCCCGCCTCGCCAGCTACGTAGTCGCCGCGCCGGATGTCGCTCGCGTGCTGCCGCCGGCGGGGAAAGTTGGTGCACCGACCATATCGGAGAGCGCAAACGCAGCGTTCACCGATGCGGTCCTGCGAATGTCGACGCCGGCCACGCCGGCGCCGCCGCCCGACCCCTCACCAGCGCCGCCCCCGCTGCCGTCGCCGCCTGCCTCTCCGTGGCCCGCATCCGCGACACCGTTGGAGAAGCCCGAGGTCAGGCCCTCGGACAGAGTCAGCGCCGCCGCCACCGAGACTGTCCTCCGGAAGAGGCCTTCCGTCGGCGGAGCGGGCGAAACTTGCGGCGCGTCGGCGGCGGCGCCATCGGCCGCCTCCTCTCCCTCCCCCTCCAACCCGTCCGCGTCGCTGGACGCTTCCGACTGAGCCGCCGAGTCGGCATCGCTCCCGCTCCTGCTGCCGTTGCAGTTTGCGCGGGCGTGCGAACCGCACGACAGCGCGGTGGCGGCGAGCGCCTCTGTGGCATCGCGCGCGGTGTCCGAGCCCGCGAGCGGCGGTGCCTCGCCGGGCGGGTAGCCCCCGCCAGGGGCCCCGCCTCCTTCGCTCGCCACAGCCCCGCCCGGCAGCGACGCCCCATCGGGCGGCGGGCCCTCCTCGTCTGCCGTCGTGCCGCACGCAGAGAACTGCAAGCTCCAGCTCGACCCTCTGCGGCGCGACTCCTTCTCGTTGGGAAGCAGCACGTTGGCGGCCGAGTCCTGGTTCCCCGACGGGTTGAAGTCGGCGAGCTGCTTGAGCAGCCGCTTGGCAGACGTGTTTGGCATCCGCGCGGCCAGCTGCAGGTGCGCTCCGTCCGCCTCCTCCGCCGACCGCTTCTGCCGCTCGCGCCGCGCCAGCCGCGCCGCCTTGCTCTCCGCCGCCGCAGCCTTGCTCGCCGCCTCGCTGCCCGCGGCGTCGGCCGCAGGATCGCTTCCCCCGCCGCCCGCCGCCTCGGAAGCCTTGCTGCTGCCGCCCTTGCTGCTACCGCCCTTGCTGCTGCCGCCGCCCTGCTTGGGCCGCTTGTCCCGCGACGGCGCGCTGGCCGGCGCGGAGCGGCGGCGGCGCGAATCCTCCCCGCCGCTCCGCGCGCGCCGCCGCTTCCGGTCCTTGCGCCCGCCCGAGCCGCCCGAGCCACCCGGCGCCCTCGCGCCGCCTTGGCCCCTCCCGCGCGGCAGCGCCGACATCTGGCCGAGCAGCGCCGCCGAGCTGCCGAGGAGGTCGCGCTCCGCCTCCGCTGCGGCGACGGCGGCGAGGCGCAGCCCCTCCGCCGACCTGCCCGGCGCGCCGAGCCCGTCGCCGCCGCGCACGCCCGAGGAGAGACCGAACGGCTCCGATGGCGTCCCTGCGCCGCCCGCCGCCGGCAAGGACCGCTCGGCGGCGATGTTCGGCGCTGCGGCGTGGCACGCGAGCGCCATCTGGTAGAGGAGCTGCTGCTGCGCGAGCTGCTTGAGCTCGAGCTGCCTGCGCGGGTCCGCCGCCAGCTCCGGGTTGGAGGAAACCTCCTCCGCCATCTGGCGCGCGAGGGTCTGCGCGAGCAGCCGCTGCGCAGCCTTCTCCTGCATCACGAGGATCTGCGACTCGAGGGGCAGCTGCCCAAAAGCGCGCGTCGAGATGTCGCCGTTGGGACCCGCAACCTCGCTGTCGGCGTCCACCTGCGGCTCCAGCTCGGCGTACACCTCGCCGCCGCTCCCGCCTCCGCCGCCGTGCGTCCGCAGCTGCGCCGTCTGCTTGACGCAAAACTTTGCCGAGCAGAAGGAGCAAGCGAGGGCGAGCATGTCGTTGCTGGTCGTGCAAGAGGGACACACCTGCGGATAGGGCGGCACGGCGACGGGGTCGGCCGTTGTGGGGAGGGGCGGGGAGGGGCGGGTCGCGGCGGGTCGGGGCGCGGCGGGGCGGGGCGGGGAGGCGCGGGCGGGGAGGGGCGGGGAGGGGCGGGGAGGGGCGGGGAGGGGCGGGGAGGGGCGGGGAGGGGCGGGCGGCACCTTCTTGCCTCGCGGCCGGGGTGGGGCCCACGACGACACACGCGCGACTCCCTTGCGGGCCGTCGGCGGGCGGCCCTCCGCCGCCTCTCCCTCGTCCTCCTTGTCCGACCCGACGCTCGAGCCGGGCCGGGGCACCGGACCCGCGAGCGAGACGGACGCCGCGTCGCCCAGGAAGTCGCCGGTGATTCCGTCGCCGCCGACGATGTCGAGGTCCTCGTCGCGCATGCCGTCGCGGACCGCCCGCAACGGCGGCAGATCGAGGGAGCCTACAGCGAGAGGGTCTCCGCGGCTCGGGGAGGCGAGCCGCACCGCCCGAGCCGCGAGAGAGCGGCGCTCGCCCGACGAGAGCGCGGCGCGGCGGGAGCCACCCTTCTTCTGCTTGAGAACGAACCGCGTCCCGCACGCGCAGCAGTGCTGTCGCGCCGTAGGGTTGAGGGCGCCGCACGCCTCGCACTTCTTGCGCGGCGGCACCTTCGGCGCTGCGCGGTGCACCCGCTCCTTGTTCGTCGCGGAGAGGGCGCCGCACAGCAGAAGCCGCTCTGCCACTGACAGAGTGCCGTTGCCAGACCCGGCGGCGCTCAGCGCGGCGAGGGCGGTGGCGGACGGGCCTGAGACGCGGGGCGGGCCTCGGGTCAAGAGGGGGGGGGGGGGTGTCCCTATCCCATTTTTCCTCCTCTGCTATACACCCTGAGCCCTGTGAAGCACGCGAATTTCCCAGTCCGTCGTGCACACGTCTTCGGCCTCCTTGCTATCCTACGTGGCTTGCTTCCAACTTTGTCTCCTGCGGCTTCTTGACATCTTAACTGTGGTAAGGCCGTCCTATTACCTTTTACTCGTCTCATCGCCTGCTTTTTGTATCTTATTTTCTCTAGCTCTTGCTGCTTGCTATTTTCTCCCTCTGTA